CCCCGACACACACACTTTGCCCCTCCTCTGATTTGCTCTTTCTGCAATCTTTCCACTGCTACTCCTTCGCTCCTTCTAACGGCTATCTTTCAGCCACACCCCTAATCTTAGGGTACGTAAGATCTAACACCTAGCTTTCTCTAGGATAAGGGCGAAAAATCTCGGAAAACCTGTGGGTAAGTTGCGCACCTTAAGGGGACACGTACACTCCCGGAAAAATTTTCTAAACGAATGACTTTTATTCACTTTCATGCAATTGTCCAAGAAGTTCATAGGTAAATATGATGCACTAAGGGTGAATAATTTGTGGATTTTTAAAATAAAAAAATGGGTCTCTGTGGCAGCCATTTTGGATTTTCAAACCAGTTTCTTAGTGCAGAAAAATTTCATAATAGATATTAAAACATCAGCCTGAAATTCGGCCCACAAGTACAAACCTATATAGACTGGGGATCTAAGTGAGATTTTGACCTATTTTTTTAAAATAAAAAAGTGAGCCCAAAATCAATGGACCCCCGAGAGATATTTGACGAAATTTTGGGGTGTATATTACCAAAAAAAATTGAATATTTCCACAAGTTACAAATATTTCCCAATTCCCTGACGTAGATCCCCATTATATATCTTAAAGCAGCTATACGCCAAATCTGAAGCTTCTAGCTTTAACAGTTTTCGAAAACGCCTCTCACCAAGAAGGTCACCTATGTCAAAAAGTAGATTTTGAGAAAAACAGAAAAACAGTGATTTTAAAAAGGATTTTTAGTGCTATTTGCACTTTTCAAACGCTCTTTTAGGACATTTTGGGTGAATTCTCAACAGTTTCGTCATTGTGACCCGATAGAACAGATGTCAAATGATGTTTTTCCGCAAAAACAAAAGTTGGATAGTTTGAAAAATTTATCGATATTGTCTGGGATCACCGACCCGGGTCTTCCCTTAAAGATCCTTTGGTGGTCCAAATCTAGGCGTCAGCCGCCACCCAGGCAAAATTAAAGATTAATTCGCCGAACTGAAAATATGAGCCGCGCACATGACCGTATGCAGTTGCGAGTGCAGTAAAACGCTTACCAAAATAAAACAAACAATTATATATTATTTAGAAGAAAAGAAAAGAGAGAGAGAGAGAGAGAGAGAGAGAGAGAGAGAGAGAGAGAGAGAGAGAGAGAGAGAGAG